ATTGGTTAAAGGGACAATGAACTTTTTTGTACAAAAACCATCTGAAAAATTTTGCCCCCTGTTCATGCCCAAACTTTGAAGGCTTCAATTTTGTCATTTGGAACAAAAGCCAGATAGAGAACTGAATACGAATGAATAAGTTCAGTTTGCTCATGCTTTGTCCCTTTTAACTGAAAAAAATACCACTTTGGGTTTTTGACAGATTACAAAGCAGACTCAGAATTTGGAGTAGAAAGCACTTATATCATATTTACTGTTTGTAGGGGTTCCGTTTTATCTTTTAAATTTGGATAAAATATTATTATCCATTAACTCAAGCTCATTGTCATACAAAAGCATACTCAAGAACAAAGGAAAAGATCTTTCACAAAAGGGTTAGGTTGAACAAGGACACGTATTTAAAGAAAAAGTGCTGTATTTCAGGCCGATGTCCAAATTTTAACTTTTGCATTCTACATCTCTTTATGGCCCAGTCGTGTTAGCTGTTTGTTTGCTTACTCGTTCTTATTTTATTTCAATTTAATAGAGAGAGAAGGACGTTAAAACTCACCGAAGGCGGCTGGAAAAGAAATGGAGAGAGGAAATTAGCCAACTAGACCAGCTACGAGAGCAAGAGGGACATGGCAAAGTGGAATTAGGTGTTGGCCATGCACTTGCTCTGGGTCCACCAACGGATGATAATCAACCAGGTTAAAACGGCTGTAGTAACTACATTATTGCAAGGCTCATAGCCATCAGCCAGACAATTTTAGCTGTAACTAAATGAAAATTATTATTTAAGTTATTCTAAGAAAATTGTGGTCACCAGAAATACTTTTAGAATGTGACTATTTCGCAAGAAGTCGTGTTAAAACGTTTGCCATACATGTTATAGTTGAGTTAATACCCTGCAAACGACTCCTGCTCACAGGGAAAGACAAGGTTTGAAAGAGTGTAATTCACATGTTTTGTTCCTTGCGATCCTCATCATGGTTACGTTGTTACATATGAGGCACCGACAAGTCATGTAAAGGAAAGTCAAAGTTCTTTTTCATACAAACATTGTATTTCACCAACTACTGAGTAGAACCCCGGTAACTCGAACCTCTGATAACTCGAACTCTCCGCTAAGTCTCATTTCCCTTGGAGTTGACCCCACTTTTCAGCTATTTTACTGGGTTCGAACTAGGACAAGTCGAATTCCTCGCTAACTCGAACTAAATCTCGTTTCCCTTGATCTTAATTTACCCCAGTAAGTGGAATTCTGGTTCTTGCAACTCACCACGGACACCACCCCATTAGCTCTTCCTGTCGTAAAAATCTGTTAAACTTCTTAAACTTGCAGTACAGCGGTTTGATTTTAATTTGTGCAAAGAACAGATAAAGTATTTGATAGTCACTTTCCAGTGTTATGAGTGATACCAACTTATCAGAATAAGAATGCCTTATCGTGTTAAAGTTTCTCGATCTATCCCAGTAACTCGAGACACGACTAACTCGAACTGATTTTTGTTTCCCTTCAGAGGTCGAGTTACCAAGGTTGTACTGTACGCCGAACGGTTGGACTTTTCACGAGTTAGCCTGAGAAAACAGCCGACACTTAGTAACGCCAACGCCACCGTTCCCCGCGAAATGACGTCTTAGGAACGAGCGCTAGAAATTCCATACTAATGACATGTCAGTACATGGGACAGCACTACTCAGATTTGTCGGAGCTTGGTCGTGACACGGCGTTATATCACATGAAAATTGTGGCTCTCTTTCCTTAGACGTCATTTCGCGGAAAACGGTGACGTCACGAAATGTTAGATGTTTTACGTGTGAGCCGCGCCTGAGCTTTGTGATCGTCAACCAGGTTACTTCGATTAGTGGCTATGAAAATCATACAGGTTTAAATACAACTATAGTAACGGTGTATTGAATGTTATGATTCCATTCACATCTGATGCACGCATCAGGTTTTCAAATTGATCTTACAGCTGAAAAAAAAAATAGTGAAAGAACAGACAAAAAAATCCTCCTAATGAGGACTAAAATAAATATAAAGTGAGCTTAAGTTAACGTTGATTTGATCACTTTTTATTAAAGGAATGTCTCTTCCAGGTAATCATTTAAATTGTTTTTGTTTTTACAGATGATATTGAATCAGTGCCAGTCACGCCATTATTTGCTACTCAGCCTCTCTCTCATGATCACCTGCCCTCACCATCAGATCGAGGTAACAAAGAAAAGGTTTATTGTATTGATGGATTTTTATCTGAATTTTGATCTGACATTTGTTTAAGACCTCTGGCTTCAATCCGCTTATAAGTAGACCATCTGCAAAATCAAAGGAAACAATCTGTGGAATGTAGCCGTTAGGAGATTCTTGCATGCTTTTTAGTTAAGTATGCTCCTTAGCTAAGCTGCCTCGGGGGAAAGAGTCTCGTCCACAGTTTCTGCACTGCAAGTGATATTATTTTTGGTTAGCTTCTCAGGCAACATTCCTAAAGGGAAGTGATGTGTGGGGTGTACCTGCACATTTTCCCCAAACGTACCCCTTGTTAATTTCGTCACTATAAATCAGGTCAGGTATTTGTCACGTTGTTAGGCTCCAAGGTAGAACTTTAGGCAGGAAAAATCTTTCTGGGGTGAGGCATCTGACGACAATTGTTCAGACTGATTGGTGATCTCACAATTATTAGAAATTAGTAACGTTCCATTGACCCAACACCAGCCTTACACGGGACGCTTTTCTGTGTTATGCTTTTAAACAAGGTAGGTGAGAGCAAAGCCAGTTGCGAGGAAACTCTCGACGTATGTGTGAATGGACATGCTTAGATTTGACTGAGTCCGGCATTAGCAGTCATTTTAATAGTCTTGAATACAGACTGGTGTTAGCCTGTGCACAGCCGCCCCCTCCCTGAAACAAAATGCGTTGAGAGTCTCTCTCCCTGTTTTTGTTTGAGGGGAGGGTACTGATATTTTCTCTTTCTAGGGATCAGTTCCAGCTGTGATTCTTGGGCTGAACAAGATATCGATGATGTGGAAAGTAAAAACTCTAAAAAATCACGCGGGAGAAAAGGGAGCAAACATTCCAAAACAAAGGGAAAAGAACAGAATTTTGTCAAGCGAAATATTGAGGTAGCGTTCGTTTCGATGTCTATTAACAGAATGAAACAGAAACAATTGAATTAGGGTAAAACCTACCAATCACATTCGCTAATTATATTTTGAGAGATAATTGACAGGAATGTAAAATGCTGCTATGAGTGGATTTTTATATTCATGTTTTTGTTTTTGTTTTAGCTGGCTGCTGACGCTGGGAATATGATTCCCATGACAGAAGCGGAGAAGAAACGTTTGGAGCAACTTTTGTCCGATGAAACAGATTTATTGATGGTGGAGGTAACTTTTTTTTGTTAACTCTGACAACGTAGATGTTAAGACCTGGACTGGCTTTTCTGTCCTTCCAATCTCGCTTTATGCTGTTATTTTTACGTTTTGAGTACCCCGCGAGTAGGGGTTTCTCCATGCTCGACGCTACGCTACGAAGGAAGGTGAACCACTGCGAGTGACTGTTTGCTTATTTGATCGAGTCGTCGTCCAGCACCGTGGACGAGTAAATTAACTTTGAACAAGTAAAAGCCTTTAAAAAAAAAATTATTCCCTAATTTCACTCGTCACCATTTGATTACACATACTAATTTCATACTCGAAAGAACGCCGATTTAGAGTTTTTCAAACTTTGCCTGATTCCTGAAAAAATAAAAAGCTGTTACAAGTTTTAACGTGATTTTTGAAATTAGTTTACTGTAGAGATTATTTGGTCACGACTTTCAACCGATTTTCGAAAATTACACACATTGGCTCTTAAGTGCGATTGACGAGAAGAAAATTACCGCTGTTGTTTTTCTTGATATGAGCAAGGCTTTCGATACAATAAATCATGGAATTTTGCTCAATAAACTACTGGATATTGGAATCTCGCTATCAATTGTTGCTTGGTTCACCAGCTATCTCTCCGACAGACGACAAGTTGTGAGCATAAATTCTGAGTTGTCTGATCCACTACCCGTTGTATCAGGCGTGCCACGAGGAAGCATTCTTGTACCCATTTTGTTTAGTATTTATGTAAACGATTTACCACTTTCCCTCGGTCCTGTCTTAACGAAAGTTACGTTGATGACACAAAACTTTGCATTTCTTTCCGAGCCCATGACTGGACTAAGACTGTTGCTTATATGAACGTTGACCTCCTACATATTCGAAACTGGTGTTTCGAAAATCGTCTTCTCTTGAATTCTGACAAAACTAAGCTTACTGTTTATGGAAGTCGACAAAGGTTACAAAATCTCCCGGACATTCGTCTCTCCTTCTTAGGAAAAAACTAATACCGGCGCACGTAGTTAAATATCTAGGCGTGACTTTTGTCTCGAGCCTTACTTTTCACGAGCATATTATTAAAACAGTTTCTTCCTGCTTCTCAAGTTTAGCTCAAATTAATCGTGTTAAGCACGTTTTTGACGGATCGACTTTAACCAGAATAATTGATACTTTAGTGTTTAGTAAGTTGTTTTATTGCTCTTCCGTCTGGTCTAATGCAGCGGACACTAGCCTCCTGAAGCTCCAAGCGGTCTAGAACTTTGCAGCCCGGATTATCAGTGGTTCCAGAAAATTTGACCACGTTACTCCGCTTCTGAAAGAACAGTGAACTGCACTGGCTATTTTTTAAATCTCAGCTATATCTCCGTGACGCCGTGCTTGCTTTTAAGTGTATGACTGGCTCCGTTCCCACTTACCTTTCATCGAAGTTTCTAACACGTGGCTCGAGTCGGTACCATCTGTACCTAAGGTAGGGTCGTTAGAGTGCAGTGTTGACGACTCGCAGTTCTACCTCTCATTTCCTGTACGTGATGCCACCTTATCCGCAGATCAGCTGACAGAAGATCTTCGGAACATAGCCGCATGGTGTTGCAAAAACAGTCTACTCATTAACCCGGACAAGACTAAATTTCTGGTTCTTGGGACTACGCAGATGCTGATGAAGATACCAGATGATCTAAGCATTACACTACTCAGCAAGGAGATCACATCATCTAAGTCTGCGAAAAACCTGGGAGTTACAATGGAGTGTAATCTAACGTACGACGAACATGTAACTCAATTAACTTCGAAATGTATAGGTAGCCTTTGTCAAATAAATCGCGGAAAATCTGTTTGATAGGCGTACGCTGATCACTATAATTAATTCTCTCGTATTCAGTAAATTATTGTATTGTTCATCAGTATGGGCTAATACCACCAAGAAAAACATCGAGCTATTACAAACAGTGCAAAATTTTGCAGCCCGGGTAGTTTCTGGAACGAGGAAATTTGACCATGTTACACCTGCCAAGTATTAAACAACTTGCGGTTAGGGATGCTACCATGGTATTTAAATGCTTAAATGGACTTGCACCTCCATATCTTTGTCAGAAGTTTAAAAACCAGATCGGAAGTGCACAACTGCAACACTAGGAGTAGGGACCCACTTTGTAGGACGGCTGCAGGTCAGCGCTGGTCGCTCGACCAGAAGCTCCGAACTTCTACATATACCCTTATATAAAACTAAATCCGGACAAAGGACATTCTTTTACCTTATAGTAAGTCTGCGGAACAGTTTAGATATTCCCTTAAACTCTGTATCTCTGCTCGTAATTTTAAGCGTAAACTTAGAACCAAATTATTTGCTGCTTTCCTATCTTATCGGTCTTAGTTTATATCATATCCATTTTATTGTATTTTTTTTAAGTTTCTGTTTCAGTTGTAATTCTATTGAATATTTATTAACTTTTTAGCTTTCTTAATTTTTCTATAAAACATTTTATTACTGTAATTGTGTAATTCTTAGATTTACTCCCCTTTTGACGTATTATCATTGTCACTGAAAAGCCCTCTTTAGGGAGTGTCAATAAAGTTTGTATTGTATTGCTATTTCGGGGATGACTGATTTTGCTGACCACATTTAAATGATTGTACCTTACCAGCAAACTTTAAATTTGAAAATCTGCTCTATCAATGAGAGGTTTTGACCGATCACTTATTAATAAAATCACAGAGTGCTGTCGTCTATTGTTTCCGAAAACTTGGACACAAAATTACATTTGATACAACTGTGGCTTAAACAATAACCCTCCTAAACTTAAAATACTGAACTGCCTGCAAGAGTTATTGATCGCATCAAAGCCGCAAGGAAACTTTTTTGAAAATGGTTATTGACACAGTGATTGTATTTTTATGATTTGTATAATTCTTAATGTTGTGTAATGCTTTTAAATTCGTACTTCAAATGTTTCTGTAAAGTATGTACATATTTTCAAAGCTGAATAAATTATTATTTTATCATTCCACAATGTCTCTGTAAAGTTTACTCTTATTCGCCTCTATAGGTATCCCCTGCGGTCTTTAGTCCCTAATGTTTCCTGCGAATCAAGAGGAGGTTATCTCATTTCACGTTTTGACGTAGGCGTCACGTGGACGCGCATACTCGATGGAAATGCGATCGTTCGCTCGCAGTGGTTCCTCTCCTTTCGTAGCGTGTCGTCCGGCCTGAACTGAGAAACCACTGCTCGCAGGGTACGTTTTGAGCAGAATGTGAAAAACCAAAAATGCAAACGTTATCTTTGTTCATGATCTGTTATGCTTAGTTTACACCAATGAGGCAAACATGAACACAACCAACATAACAGACTCGGTACAGACCTGCAGATCCTGCTTTCCTTTTGTTAGGTTTTTTCAAGAAGCAAAAAGACTCTCATTATTCCGTTGCTACGTCAGTATGTTTCTTACGTCGAATGTGTAGACTTGGACTTGGACTTAATCAATCCTGAGTCTGTTATCTGTGATTAATTGGTCATCTGAAAACCAGTAGAGTCTTCGCCTCTTGTTAATAATGACAATTGTTTTTATCAGAATGCCTATTCCGAAGACGGCTTATCTCTTCCTGCTGGTGAAGGATTTACGCTGGACAGTGAATCAGTTGCCTCGCTTGCTAATATTGACCGGTAAGGGTTTCTTTTTTTCTCGTGAATACCCAAAGGGTATTTCACGAAGTTATCGCTGTGGATTGAGATATGCAAATAAGTCCACAGCACTCACTCATCGTAAGCGATCTTCGGCTCGCTCCGAAGTTGCCCGATATGAACACGACAAATCGTCGCTGGTGGTGCCGAAGTGTACTTTGGGCAACATTGGGCATGCATTGACTCACGCCACCTCGGGAGTGAGGAAAACATCAACACTCGGTGTTGATTTTATAAGTTCTGAAAGTCGTGTATTTGCATTGTACGCTAGGAGTATCTCGATCATAAGCACAGCTGGGACGGTTTAAATTTCCAGTAACATGCATGACAAGGGAAGAACGTTGTCGATAAATCGCGCTTTTAACGTCGTTAACGTGGTTTGTTTTGCTTATTTTTGTGTAACCCAAACTTCGCAGTGTCTTTAGCAGGCTCTGGCGAGGAACTGATTACAGCCTGCGCCAAAAAGTCGTGTTCAAAGGCATTTTACGCAGAAAATCCCCGAAGCATTTTGTCATAGAAAAATGCTGGTGTTGGTCTAAGCCTAGAGAAATTTTTTTCTTCGAAACAAGCAGCCGCCCGTTCATTTTCAACGGTCGTCATTCCACACGATTTCACATGGTTGCAGCCGACATTTACAACACGCAGTCATCACAAGTAAGTCAGACAAGAATGGAAGTCGGTAGCCATAAGAAAGAGACGCGTGCTATGCAGGCTACTTTTTATTAATCCTACAATTCTTCAGTAACTCTGTCGTAGTAGGTTTACTGTATTGTCATTTTTTATGTAGTAAACTCCATGACCTTGTGCCAGAGGAAGAAATGGATTTATTAACCACGGAAGAAACATGGAAGCCTCTTAGGGACTTGGATGAAGTGTCGGAAGATGCTTCGAGTGTACAAGTAGATGCTGACACCACTGGTAAGAGATAGCGTCATTTGCTATCAGTGTTTGAAATTTTAGAAAGGGAGGACATTCTGTTTGTTCTTTTAGGGCTCGGAGAGAGAATTCTCAGAGAAGAGAAAGAAATGAGAGAAATGAAAAGGAGATTGCTTGCAATCGAGGCTGATCTTCAAGCTCTGTACAGAGAAAATGAAGAAGAATCTACTGAGGTGAGTTTATTAACTTTAAGCATCACTCATGTGTCGTCACGTTCCAACTGCTGCTAAAGAGTGGTGACGTTGCCGAAGACCCTGGGCCCGAACAAGGCCCGAACAAGCTCCTGTTTGCCATCAATGTAATGACAAGACTTTTCGCCGCAACCACAAAATGTTTTATCTGCACTGTTTGTGAAGACGCGACCCACGCTCTCTGTGCTGGAGTAGTGAACATCTACCCTCTACCCAGTCTGAGGATTGGACTTATCCGCCCAAGTGTACCATTTCAGTACTGCCGTTTTTGTGGTCAAGATATTTTAGATTTATCAGTGTCCAGCTGCGGAAGCGGCGATGTGTCTTACTTACTAGCCTTACAGCGCAACAACATGAATTTACATGGCTCGTACAATCTTGAAAAGGTCTTGACTTTTACCAGTTGTCTTGAAAAGTCCTTGAATTTGGTTTAGGTCCTTGAAAAGTACTTGATTTCTCCATTAGGTTTTGAAAAGTCCTTCAAATTCACAACCTTGTCCACGCCAGACACCTTTCTTCTGTAAAATTAGGTTATTTTGCTGAGGAAAATTTGGCTTATCCTCGGTGTAAGAACATGTAAAACTAACAGGTAACGTAAAAACATTTTTGTGCATGAACAGTATTATATTTCTGTTTCTTTATTTCAAATGCTATTTCCGTACCTCAGATGCAATTGCAAGTCATACCTAGTCATTTTGCAAAGTCTTGTTGTGGAAAGTAGTATAACATAATGTGATCAACGATGGTCGAAGAAGTAAAAATGGTAAATGATGACTCCATGACATGCTTTAGCCAATAGATTGATAAAAGGGAGTTAAAGAATGTCGATCTTAGTCCTTTTTTGGTACATTAATTGATCAGTGTACTATTAAATCCCCAAATTTCGTGTCCATTGAAAACTTCTAAAGTTGTCTAACATGGGCCCAAAAGTGAGAAAATATTGAAGCGATGTCATATATTTGGCGAAGTTTTTGCTCTGAGAGTCCCTATTGCCTCGAGTTTAGCACAACCTCAAATTCCCATGCAGCACGCGAGAATTTACCGCGCTTAGTTGCCCTCTGAAATCTCTCCGAAATATGGTAATGCTGTAGAGTGGGAGAAAACAATAGCGAATAGATTTCAGAGGGCAAATAAGGTTGAATTCCTGGAAAGACAATTTTATGGCGAAAAGCTCTCGTTTGTCCACAAAAAGGAATCTGAGAACTCGTTTGAACTTTCTCTTTCCACTTGTCTTTCATCGGCGTATTTTCAATCTTGAAATGTAAAACTTTAGTCTTAAAAACCACCACATGATGTACGCGCGCCAGCCATTTTGTTTACGGATGACATCTGCTAAGGTGTCAAATTCGCCGGCTTCTTCCCCACCCCCTATGTGGTTGCCCATTTGACTTTTGTGGGGGAGGGGGTATGGGTGATTTAACTTGGGCGAGAATTTTTTTTCCAAACCTCTGGAGTTTTTTCCCTGAGATATAACAGTGTAAGATTTTTTTTGTCAGCATTGTATACGTCATGAGGGAAATTTTTTTCAGTGCAGGATATTATTTTTCCCAGGCATATCCTTGCAAGCTTTTCTCCCTCGAAATCAGTGTACAGGATATTTTTTTCTGAAATCAACCATAACCTCCTCAAAAGTCAAATTATCAGCCGCTAAAATCCACCAAACATTGGCTCAGTAGATAGACTCAGATTTGCCAATCATTTCTAAAACCTTTTGAAACAATAGGGGACAAAACTCTCTAGCGGAGAGGGGAGGAATTCCTTTCTACTTACCTCTACCCGGAAAGTCCGTACGGACGTATGTTGACGTCATAACCAAATTTTCTCGGATGAATAGTTTACCATTTTCTCTTAAGTATGGGAGCTCCACGCTTGCGCGCGCGGAGGCTCCTTTGCTATACTACTAGAATGTGTATTCATTTCTGCAGGTTACCTTATCAGGAGAAATATTACAGAAGCTGATCGGGAGAAGTTCCAGAACCACCTCTCGAAGCACAACAGTATCAGAACGCGTCATGTCGTCTCTTTCCTCGGCCAGAACTACCACCGATGAAACGATCAAGCAGGAGGAATTTCAACTTGCACCTACCTCTCCTGCAAAAAGGAGTAAAATGATATCCAATAGCAAGCACAGCTTACACACAAACCTTTTTAGTAAAGAGAACGAGAGCCCTTGTGGTTCGAATGATGAAGAATATTGAAAAAATGCCTTGGAAACTAAATGCACTGTCGGACATGGTTCCAATAGGGCTGAAGGCAGTTTCAGTGCAGTTGAGTTAAGTTCTAATTTAACCGATTCTGGTTCGTCCAAGAAACAGACAAGTCGGTGTTAAAGAGAAAGGCGACCACACAGCAGCAGAATGTCAAATCACGATAAACAAGATGGGTACCGGTCAAAGAGTGACACTGTGAAGTATTTATTGCTTTTTCTTGTTAGAATAAATAAGGAGCAATTTGGTTAAAACCTGGAAAGGCATCGCAATCAAATGCTGGAGACGATGTCCTAAAAAATAAAAATTTATGGTTGATACTAACGTGTAGAGATTATGGTGCGAACATAAGCACAAAGCTGCGTAAGGAAACTTTCACACAAATAAGTTTGACAATGGATTGAGTTCTGTAACCCGTGTTGTAACATAATCAAGTAATGTGTAAATAGTTTGGACGAAGTAACCGATTGTTTTTTATTCCTTGTTATAAAGTGTACAGACGTAAAGCAGCCTTCACACGGCTTTTGTATGTAAAGTATTGTACTCCTTTGTTTAAAAAAAAAAAAAAAACAAGCGAGTATACTTCATCATGGGTCTTTAACATCTTCCAAGGTCTCATACGCTGAACGTTTACGCTTGATGCGTGCTAAGTAAGGGTTATCGACTAGCGCGGTCTCAATGTCATGGTTTGACCTGTTTTCCTGTTTAGAGCTCACTCGTAGTGCTTACGAAGAAATCGCAACGCTAGAGGCGACGGTGGGGATTTTGATGTTATGTTGGTCACAAGGGTGCTCTCTAGTGTCAATGCCTGGATGCGGCACAACAACTTACAGTTAATGATAACAAAACGAAGATCCTAGTCTTCTACGCCAAGCATCGGCCTCCTATCTCCCTGTACTGTCTACAACTGTGTACAAGTAGCTAGCGCTAACCTCAAGCCCACTGATCATGCAAGGAACATTGAGGTTATTTTTTACTCCAATCTTAGTTTTGATAAACAGATCGAGCAAATATGTAAATTTGCTTTTCACTCAATTAGATCAATTTCGAGAATTAGAAAGTTTCTCAGTATGGAAACTGCTAAGACTCTGGTGCACGCTTTCGTGACTTCTAAGTTAGATAATTGTAACGCACTCTTGTATGGCCCGCCTAAGTATAAGATCCAGCGCCTGCAATACGTGTTGAACTCTCTCGCTAGGCTGGTTACATTGTCTAGGAAGCTTGACCACATATCGCCAGTACTAGCGGAGCTTCATATACTGGTTGCCAGTCGAGTAGCGCGTAGAATTTAAGATCTTGTTATTTACATATAAAGTGGTGAATGGTATGGTACCTGTTTATCTTTAGGATCTATTAGACCTTTATAGACCTTGCCGTAGCCTTAGATCAGGAAACATACAGCTTCTGAAGACACAATCGTATAATTTAAAATCGTACAAAAAACGTTTTGTAATATAGCATTTTTCTGTAATATTCTTCCGGTAGACGCGGTTTGGAGCTCGTAAAGCTATATTTCGCATGAATACTTAAAGATACATTTGAGGAAAAGTAGCTGAAAGCTTTTTTGCATTATTTCGGTCCCCGGATGAAAAAAAATCACCCTGTGGTTCAACAGCGCGCGCTAAGCGATGTTCTCCGCTGTTTCTAGCTGTCGCTTTTGTCGCCTGCTGCACGCGCTGGATTTTAAGTCGCCGTTCCCGGTCTGACCGAGTTTCTGTGGTAAATCTTCCTCGGCGAAGATTCCCTCCCAGCCACTTGTTGAATCCACCGTAGTTGTGTTTGTTATTCTCTTTCATGTGCCCGAGATATTGGTCGTGATTTACCGATAGTAAACATTGTTTCTCAGATGATGAATGAGCACGTCACGTTTTCTGCATCCTGCATTGATTACTATCGAGTGTGGTTGGTGTCTGCCTCGACGTCATCAAGAGTGAGGTCAGGGCATTTTTGGTTTCCTGGCAATCGCTTTGCGACGGTGCTTGTGAATGACTGAAACTAGGCTGTGGAAAGGTTCCCAAGTGGAGCGGGACGAAAAGAAAATCGAACAGCGAAGCGAGATCAGAAGCGGCCTGGGGTAAAAGGCGAGAGAGCTTGTAGACTTTGTTTTGAGGCCACCCATACGCCCACTAGCAATTATTCCGTGAAACATATTAATAACATGTCAATAAGGTAATTAGACCTGTCAAATTATGATGTTTTTACGCTTGAAGGCATCGGCTTCAATAACATTTGCGCTCACGTGCAGTCACAGTCAGCGATCTGACCAATCAGATTATGATATCAGAATGTGGTCTCATGGATGGGCGGCATCAAAGCAAAGTCTACAGGTTCCTCCTCTGAGGCTCCCCCGCCTATTTTTGTCCCCCAGATAAGGTTCCGCTCGCTTCGCTCGCTGTTCGCAGGCTCTGACGGAATCACTATTCCAAGCTCGCTTAACAAAGGCCTGGGGACTCAAGAGATGAGTTACGGACATGAGAGTCCGCAGGTGAGAAGGCGATTGGACTAGACCAAGATAAGAGAAAAAATACGGGGAGAGGGAGGGTCAAACAAACGAATCACAAAGCAAAACGGGTGTAGACCAACCGCACCCCCCACACACACCCCCACAAGGGGCTTCGACGGCGCATGAATCCAATCCTCCCGCCCTTGCAGCAAAACTGGACAAATTTGCGTGCACACGTTTATTTATACACAGAAAGCCACTCCCGAGGGAGAAACGCACACACGCGTGAAATAGAGCTCTCGCAAGTAATTGGTCAGAATTTTAGGGCTGGTGTTACGCGAGCGAGCACTGGGAATGGTAATCTATTCCCAGGTCTGGGGACTCACGAGATAAGTCACGGGACATGCGAGTCCTTGGCAAGGAGGCAAAGGATAGCCTTAGATAAAATTAAAGGTCTCCACTGGCCTTCTCAACCCCATCACCCCAAATCCCAATATCCCGAAACTAAACGACAACACAAGCGCTTATCAAAAAAGGCTTGGAGCCACAAGGAATGATGCATTCATGGAAAGCGTTGCCAAGATATTCCGGAGAAGAACCACCTAAAATGTGAACAGAACTGCCAGCCATTAGGCATCTGAAGAGGTGTTGGTATTTAGAGGTTTGCAAAAACTGAGAGTATTCGACTAATGCAGCAGATTTCTAACCAATGTGCTTCGCTTGGTCCTATTTAGACACCTAGTTTTTAGACACAACGCACAGAATCTCCCTCATGCATTGTCAAATGCAAAGAGGGTTAAAAGTATTCAACACGCCTCGCCAGCACGGTAGAAGCGAGGATTCAAGAATCGAAAATACTATAATTCTGGAAGTTAAAGTGAAAAAAAAACAGAGGAAATGTGGAGGAGGCGCATTGATTTACATAGGTCTACGGTAGACTACAAATTCCCGGACACCAAGATCTTTCTTAACATTTGGCCACGCATTGGAGAAACAGGAGGAAAGAGCCATTAGTGTGTCCTAACACTTCAACTGTGTTGGTATAATAGGAAAACCGGACGCCCTGTCACCAGAGGAAAACCGAGCGAGAAAAATGCAAGCTCTCGATTAGAAATGCAACGTTCCGAATTTAAGGTGAAATGCTGGTACCTAACAGAGTATGCTTTAAGGATTCGCGACTTTACTATACGCAGCATTGTTTTCCTTTGCCATCTTTGAAAATTAAGATTTAACATCTGTGGATAAAGTCTCATAGGGTTGTAAAGAGGACAGGAAAGTTAAAAACTAAGCCTCCAGTTGTAATATCTGGGGCTGACAAACGCTCTATTCAGGGGCACCCAACGAGAATGTAGTTCAAAACCACTTAAACATAGCATTGTTAAACGTATTTTAGTATTTAAACGGTAGATATAGGCATATTTTTATCCCCTAAAAATTTTTCATCTGTTCGGATTTCCTAGCTAAAGTCTAGTGCTCCGAAAATTATAGGGATCAAAACTTACCTTTTCGAAAATTTCAGCCAGAAAAAAGGCTCCCGAAAATTCTAGGTGACCTTTTAAGGGTAAAAATCCGTTAAAAATGGGCAATTATACCATTTTTTAGATGCTCGAAAATCCTAGGAGAAGCAGGCAAGCAAGAAATTTTACAACAAATGTTCCGAAAATTCTAGATCTCAAATCGTCTTCCGAACAGATATTTTCCGAAAATTGTCGTTGGGTGCCCCTGTCTATTATTCTTGTATCTACCTGAGCAAATTTAAATTTAAGCGTCTTGAAAGTGTGTAATATTGTATATCGTATAATGTACATTTAACAATTATTCTTTGAAATGGAGGTGAATAGTGGCTAAATATTTGCCGAGCCGCGAAAGCAGCGAGGTAAATATTCCCAAAGCCACTATTCACCGAGATTGAAAAGAATAATTAACCACTTCCCTCGGGTCTTTTCAGGGATAATTTACAACACTGGTTGGGGATCCTTGCCAGACTGCTTAAGGTGCAGTTTACAAGTAATGACGGAATCAGTAATGATGCCCCCATACATGAGTGTGAAAGTGAGATAGACCACTACACCGGGCACTACGTGCCCTACTCTTTACGAATAGTGTGTGGGTTCTTTATCGTCCCACAGATTTATTACATGTGTAAGGGCTTGTGAGAGGGGGCTACGGTTGATCGTCCTTATCCGAGAAGACTAGAAAGTCCAACCGTTTGCAGATGTTGTTACAAAGGCAGCACTTTCTTCTCAGTTATTTAAACACTCTGAGTGTTGGTCCGTCCGGGGTTTGAACCTACGGCCTCCCGCTCAGCAGACCGGCTCTTATCCCACTGAGCTAACCGGGCGGCGGTCTGGTGTGACCCAAATTATAAGTAAGAAACCTTTTTGCCCACATATTTGGCGAAAAGGAAACAGTCTACGTTTTGCATGCGAGCATTTGTAACACAGCAAAGCAGGACAAAATCAGTAGCGCACCCGTAACGATGGGGGTGAAGAGGTAAAAGGACAGGGTTGGGAGGCAAGGAACCGAAGCCCTATCCCAACTAAAAGTCGAAGGTGTAATGACGTACAGGGCTTCGTCCAAAGGATAGAGGGTCTGAGGGAAAACTACAATAACTCTGGCGGACTCTTTGGTAGCCCAGGTGAGAAATTTCCAGCGGAAGCCTTGATCATCAAAAGGGGCGTCAAACTAAGGCCAATAAAAAGATGGAATGAGGGTCCCCTTCTCGATTTCACTCTCATCACGAAGGAACAGCGGGCAAGTACTGGCTGAGAGAGCCCCGGAGGGAGCGTCCATGAGATTATCTCTTGAAGGAACATACACCAAGGACAGGGCGATAAAAAATACTGTAGCAAAGTTGTTTGGATGACTCAGATGACTGGATGACGACGGAAAGAGCTTTGCTCCTGCCACCTTGATTTATAGGGGGGCGAACTCACGGTAGATTGTCCACTTAGGTATCAACTCGGTATCGAAGCCAGAAGCGACTTAACACAAGCCAAGAGGCTCGGAAGCGGGGAGCGCACGGACTTCAATGGAATTTCCACATTCAACAGGGAAATCACACCACCCGCCCCGAATTCAACAGATCACAATAAGGACCGGTAGTTCTAACTGCATGCCGGGAGACAACCTTGCCAGATATCCACAAATCTCTAATATAGAATTTCCCTTAGAAGGACGGCAGAAACATCAATGGACTTACGGGGAGCTTGACGAGATATCACGATATGAGGCACCGGTGTAAAGTAAAGCTGCGAGAACTGCAGTAGAGAACAAAGTGATTTTTCCTGCGAGCCGTTGCAAGCTTCCGAGATCTACAGTATCCTGAGACAATAAGTTACGCTCTTAAGGCCTTCAGCTTGAGGTTCTGCCTGGGTATCTCAGTTGGGAGAGCCCCGCTCTGCTGAGCGGGAGGTCACGGGTTCGAACCTCGGCCGTACCAACACTCAGGGTCTTTAAATAACTGAGAAGAAAGTGCTGCCTGCAAATAAAATTACTAGAAATAGAGGCATAATCAACCAAATTAACCTTAACCTTTCAAAATAAGATGTCTCTTGTGATGTTCAAAACCATACTAATTTGAGATCTACAGAAACTGCCGGCTGCTCTTCAAAAAATCTTACCTCTCTTCCATCCAAAATGTCCAACGTGCTCTAGCTTATAAATCCTTGCATCGTTAAATTGGGTTGCCTTCGCCACTTTTTTGTGCTCATTGTCGGGCGCCATTTTTCTTTTTATAAAATTGAGCCCAGCTTCCTGGTTAGGTCCCAGGTCGTGTGAACTGACACTCGGCCAGTCCGATGGACTTGCACAACGGCAACTCGTCTCCATCGAATCCGATGGAGTTCGTTTGCCGATTTTTTCCAACACTAAGAACTTAAAGTTTGCTGTTTAGTAACAAATCTCCGTGAGAAGTAAAAAAAATCTGTATGTTTGAATTCGAATAAAACGAAAATATATTTCAAACCTTAAATTTTCAATAGCCGTGATAAATTATTTAATAAAAACGTTATAAATAACTCAAATTATTCTTAATGCGGCTTAATATCATATTTTGATGCTAGGAAATTTTGAATATTTTCGTTCTTTGGATCTTGAAAACCAACCCGTTTTCTCACCACCTGTATAAGTGTAACTTCATTCAAAATTTGGACTTTTAGCGCTTTTTTGTATACTCGAACCACCTTTTTTCAAATCTCTTCTCATAATCTTCATAATAATAATAATAATAATAAATTAATAACCTCTAGAGCGCTATTTTACATTCACTGATCAACGGCGCTCAACAACTTAAAAAACTACGATAAAATTCAAATTTGTAAGACTAATTACATGTACATGAATATTAACAATGTATATTAATACATACCTGCCTCGTACCGCTTGACTGTTCGAAGAAGTGTGCTAGTTTAGGCATTTTTTAAGTCCAAAACGCTATATTTCGTCTCTGCTACTTCTTTTTTTCTTCATCTCACTTGTATACAGTTTCTTCGAAAAGTTTTTCAACGTATTTTCTTGCTCAAAGCAGAATAATGGCAAAACAGCGAGTCTCTCGTAGCAATGACACACGATGGCAACTGTTGTGAAGATTTCTTGTAGTTTAGGCATTCTTAAGTTGTAAAGAGCTCTTTTTCTCTCCGTTTCTCCATTTTTCTTCTTTGTAAATAGCTCTTGCTAAGTTTTTTTTTGGATTTTTTCACTTGCTTTAATCTGAAATAATCTCACAATCATCAGTGAATCATTAGGGAGTTTAAGATACGGAGACTACGGACTACGAACTACGGCTGGACGAGCGTTGTCCTTTGTTCGTAGCACTGGGTTGAGTCGTGCAAATATAGAACGTTAAGATTGCACTACAGACAGTAGACTACGAGAGAAGAGGCAGAGAGGGAAACAACACGCAAAGATTTTCTTGTTTTCATCACAGTTCACAAAAATGCAAGTCAGTTTTGCATGTGATCTTATCTTTAGAACAATGTACAAATTCTTGCATACTTGAAGGCAGCAATTACGTCGGGTGAAATTGGTAAACAAAGTTTTGGTTACACAGGTTTTATTTTTTCGCCCATGAATACTTATGTCAAATATTAAAGATATAGACAGAAATAGTAATAGCTCATTTATTAGATTTAGAAGATGGACTTCTCCGACTACTGCTCTGATGTAGTTTGAAGTACTGAAATGCCGAGTTTCGATTGTCTCGAGCATGTTTACATCATTTTCATTCAGCAAATGGCGCGATACAAAAACTCGCATAAATAAAGTTACACAAAGACTCACTAATCAGTTCGAACAAACATTGAAACTTTTCAAGTGCGAAGAGAAAGTAAATTACCTGCATGATTTCTCTTCTCCTAGGCCGTCAATCTGAATTCTGCGTATAAACAGCTAAGCTTATTTAAACATGAGCTTAGCTAGATAAAAATGTAGTCACAACAGTGGATTAAAAGCGTAAATCTGAGCAGAAATTAGACACAACTTACACATTTCGCTTCCCTCTCACTTAAAGCAGGTGAATTGAAAACGTTTTTACGAAAAGACGAGATTCTTGAATTACGGAGACGGCAAAATACGAGCAAAATGTTCTCCGTAGTCCCGACTACGCGAAACAGCTCAACAACTCACCGTAGCCGCAGGACTACGCGGGAAAAATGAACAGTCACGTGGTTTTGATCATGCGCAGTAACATATTTATCCGTAGCCGTAGTCCGTAGTCGCCGAGTCGCCGCATCTTAAACTCCCTATTTTCAAAACTACGCGCCATGTTGAAAAAAACAAAGTAAACAAGTTTCCCGTGACGTCATCGACGTATCTGTTTAACAAATAGATTGCATGTTGCCGTGCGTCTGTTCAGTAATAGATCACAGATGACGTCAAAATGTCGTAAAAACAAAAAAGTGCGGCTCGTGTGTCACTGTTGTTTTTACCACATTTTGACGTCCTCTGTGATCTATTACTGAACAGACCCACGGCAACATGGAATCTATTTGTTTTATACAATGATCAGAAAAGAAAAAGACCGATACACATACCTGCCTCGAACCGCTTGACCTTTTGAGGATTTGTGCTAGTTTAGGCATTTTTTAAGTCCCAAACCCAACTTTTCATCTTAGCTTCTTCTTTATCTTACTTGTGTACAGTTTCTTCGAAAAGTTTTTCACCGTCTTTTCTTGCTCAAAGAAGAATAATAGCGAAAACATTTTGCAAAACAGCGAGTCTCTCGTAGCGAAGACACACGATGGCAACTGTTGTGAAGATTTCTTGTAGTTTAGGCATTGTCAAGTAGTCAATAGCTTTTTTGGTCTCCGTTTCTCCATTTTTCGTCTTTGTAAATAGTAGTTTATTCTCACCTGTCTCCCTCACGCCTATTGTTGAGTATGGGCACCAACAGTCTCGTGTTGAAGATAACCCTAAAATACCACGGCGGAAACCACAAAAACCGCACAAACGGATGCCCATCCTCAAAACGAGAACCCCAAACTGAAAACCCCATCGTAACAAAAACATAAATTAGGAACGAGGAAACGTAGAAACGAAGTCTTTTAAGCGATTAAGATCCGCATATAAAGTTGTGGAGGCGGAGGCCGCCAACTCGTTTGAAGTCAATAAGTCAGAAGGAGATCCTTCACGAAGAACTTCAGCTAACTTCATGTAGTAAAGGGCAGTACTCTTGTTGGACCAACCCACGTGAGACATCACATCAGCGAGCTGCGATCCAGACAAAGCGAGGGTAATGGCGGAGCCCGAGCGGAAACCGTGCAGAGTCTCGCCTTCATCAATTTTCGCGTCCTTTAAATAATATTTCAAGCGGGCTTCTGCGGAAGAACTTGTAAGGGGCTTATTGACGATATGACCCTGGTGATTAGTGGGGCGAAATAAGTAGCCGTTGGAGAGAGTTATGCGTAGTTCTGAGGCGACAGCCACATATGTTTCAATTGCCTTGACCTGGCAAAGCTGGGGATTTGAATGGCGACGAATTCCAAAGACGTTATAGGCGCCGTCTCGTAAAGTTTTACCCCAAACATGATTAAATAAAAAGCCATCGTCTTTAGCGAAACGCATAATTTCTGCGGTTTTCACACATCCCAGATCAGAACCTCTATCCGCGCTGAAGAATAGAGTTTTAAAGAATGCTTGATCTCGAGCCAGAATAAAGAGAGCGGAAGGGCTGACTGCCGGATCCGCCATTTTTCTATCCCATAACCTTGCCAGAAGTAAGAGCTTCGGTAGAAAAAACGGGACTGCTTGCTTGGGGACGATATGAGCACGCAATTGTTCCTCAGATACAGCCTTAAGATAACCTTGGACTGGGGAAGAAGCAGCAGGATTACCAAAACCTAGCATACTATTCCATTCGCCAGAACGGCCGGCCTCGTTAAATATTGCATGAAGTTTTCCAATATAGGAATCCACGGTTTTAAACGCGAGTCGCTTGGGGCAACCGCAATCAGAAGCATCTTGGTTTGGGGCATTTACACATTCAGCTACATGGACAACCCTTTTCCCGTGACGATCTTTCCAAATCAGAAAACGCGAAACATCTTCGGGGGTGGCGGAATAGATAGACTTTGTATTAGGCAAAGAGGCTAAAAAGGTTTCAAACTCCACGCGCAAAGAGGATTTTTGCTTTGAATACGAAAGCGTGTTGGCCGTTTGTGTAAGCTGTTGCAAACGAGCATCAATGGCTGCGAGATCCACTTTTATTTTCGAGGCAGGCTGACGTGGGACTGACTTTCTTTTGTAGCCACACATTTGGCAAAAACGAAACAAATGGTCGTTGGCATAAGCACATGAAGGGCAAGCTACAGCGGGGATAAAAAACCGCTGTACTTGTGGGAGATCCTAATAGGGAAGACAGATGAAAGACTAAATGAGAATAAATACCAAAATATAGTTGAAAATAACTAAATAAAATCAAGGAGAGACGAAAAGTACAAGACTCGATGACTTTATTGAAATTACATCTTAATGACAGAAACCGTCAAATGCAACAGCAAAATGGATTAGCTTGCTAGATAATCCTTAAACAGTATGAAATACTGCGAGTCTAATTATTTGAAATCCGGAAAACCCAAAGGTCCCAGGGGATCGGCCTGTCACCCAAGATACCATCCCTGGAAGGGGTGAGAAGAACGCCACTAGCCCCTTTAGAGGCTAGCAAGGAGCTGGAAGAGCATGCAGACAGAAGCAAAGGCCACCAAAAACGACGTGGGATCACGTCTGGGACAACAAGGGTGTATGGCAACTTAAGGCTATTAAGATACTTAAAGACCTTGGGAATAAGGCAAATGGACGGGAAAACGTATTCGAAAAAATCTCAGGTCGATACAAGTTAGGGGATTGTGCAAACACATTAACCCCCAAAGCATTAACTAAAGGACTTTCAGAAAAAAATGGTAGAGGTTTGCCAGATAGGTCAGTTTGGACATTTGAAGCTCGTGTCATAAGATCAACGGAGTGACCTTTAGGACCGCCATACAGACTTTGGACCAAATCCCACGTTTTTGGACTAAGTCTAGAGTCCTGAAAGCTTAGCCGACGGGAGGGAGAATCCGCAGGGTTCTCAGGGCCAGGAACATAGTAGACATGCAGATCAACGTTAAGATGCATGGTAGTTTGAAACAAGCACTTAAGAGCGGTCACCAAAGAGTGGGAACGGGAACCACACCTGTTCCAAGAGTGAAGCAAAACTTGACTGTCAACAAATGCATCCACCCATGAGTTTCTGACCGTATTCCCAAAGGATTGTAAGGCATTGTTGAGGGCAAGAGTTTCCTTGGTAGCAATGGCGGCCCCAATAACAGAAGAATCCCAGTAGTCGGAAGTGCTAACAGTAATGGCACCCGGACTCAATACACCTCCCAAAGCAAAAGAGGAAGAATCCGAGAACAAACGAAAATGGCAGTGTTTCTCGGAACGGAAATAAAACCCAAGTAAGGGACTTGCTTGCAAGGTACCAAAGTCGATTTATCCAAACCAATAAAATAACCGAGGGAGGAAAGGATAAAACACGTAAGAAAGATAGCAGCGTTGGCTAAAGCCAAATTAATGCTATCCTGGGAGGGCAAATTTTGATAAGCAACCGGAAGACAACCATTAGGGAAAGAAAGCTGACTACTGTGACGGTCGTCGATGTACAGCGAAGATGGAATGCCAAGCGACCGTAGATAATGAGAGGCAAGGAGGCCAGTGGAGTGATAAATGTAGGCGGACGATTTCCAACCAAATGGAATACAACAACTGACAAAAAACCATCCGCCCTAGTCGAATCCAAAATATGTCCGGCTGTCCACTGAGAGTTGGATATGGTCGTAACTGGATTTGTCATTGCAGACAGTTTGAAAGAAGCCAGGGAGAACATACTGGGGTAAGTGCTGAACACTGTCCAATTTAAAAGGGCGGTCTTGAGTCCAAAGGTTGAGAAATCTGTCGTCATTACAAAGGCGTGGTTTGGTAGGTTCTACTGTAAGCGGCATGACCAGGTGTGGAGGTGGACATTCCCCTACCTTGCCCCAGAGGGAGATGGCGCCTGAAGCTAATCTCTCGATAAGAGTATCAGTAATAAACTGGGCAAACGCCTTACAAGAAGGATGATTAGCAAAAATGCGAGCAGGCGGTCTGTCGCAGTTATAATTGACTCCCTTATAGCTTCCTTTATAATGGGTAAAAAACTTGTCAACGTGGATAAAGTTATGAATCCAGTCCAGTACTTCAGAGAAATTGTTATCAGACGATTGAAATAACTTGTTCCATTGATCTATATGGCGATGGAGTTCACCCGCTCTAAAGGAACTTGAGTCACGGAAGGCCAAAAGGGAGGCGTCGGCAAACGCTTCTCCTGCGATAACTGAGGAGATGAAATCTTGACTAATATGGGCGTTGTCTGCCATTTCCTGGGCCTCAGTAAGAAGAGATCCCTTATAATTCACCCAACGTGGCGAGTTAACAGAAATCTTGGCAGGATCAAAGTTGGGAGTCTTTTCCCAGTCATGAAAAACTAGAACAGAAGAAAGAATAGGTATGGCCCAGGGAATGGCAAACTCAGCCCCGGTAATCCGAGAGGGAACATTCGTTCCCCTTGAGAATGCCACCCGAGGGAAGAAGAAAGAGGAGCGAGAACAATATAGCGAGTGGACAACAATACAGCGAGTGGAGAACACTATAGCGAGTGGGCAAAATAAAATATATAAAAATATAAGTCGGTATTAAGGGATAAAAGGGTGAAGGATTAAAGACGGTAACCCCGAAATAACAAAAATAAAGGAAACATAAGGCAAGTAAAAACAATGCACTATTCGCCTAAAGGAAAATCTTTATTGCATAAGATGATACAACAAAATTATGTTGAAGGATGGTTAAATCGAGGCTGAGCAGCAGAAGAAGGCTGACGAGAAGGAGCGCGCTTCCAACACTGGGGTGACTTATGCCCTGGTTCACCACATTTGTAACAAATAACGCGAGAGCCGCTGATAGGCTTGAAAATACGGTTGCCGATCGATATGGCAAACTTCCTCTACGCGTCCGTGTGCGAAATGGTGTGGACCGCTGGAAAGACTTGTCAACCTTCGAGATCGTTTCGATAACACGGGAAAAATCCTTGTCAGCTAACAAAGCAAGGAAATACGCCTTGAACTGCTCAGCTGGGACGTGGAGCTTCTCTCTCAAAGTCGAAGCGATAACATCATTGCTGGCGGCCTTGGGGTGACTGGAGGACTTTACAACAGAAGCTAATTCTTCGGCGTAACGAAGCGCTTCGTACTTGTCGAAGTCCTCAACTCTTCTGCCACCATAATATGAAATTCTCTGTATCAATGACTCGACCTGAGGTGCCTTGGGCACTTTGGAGAGCTTTAATACGCTGTTGTAAGGCCTAAAAAAGAAAAATGGGCAGTCAAAACTAAGCCCTAAAAGCGACAAAACATCGATAATAAAATCCAAGAATAAATTCAAGGCAATAATAAATAAACAGGTTTTATAATAAAAGATCGGGAGAGAAAAAGCAAACAAAATTAAATACAACAGGCAAAATAAACTAGCCCCAGCGGGACTGCCGGTGTAATCGAGCGGTAAATACGGAAATGAATAAAACAAAAGGGCAAACAAGGAGGCGCAACAACTAAACGAACTGTAGGCGGAGCAAAAGTAAAAGGGGGTTTTAAAAATGGAAATAAACAAGCATACGAATTCAGAATTGCCCGCGAAGCCCACGTGAAAAGAGGGCAAAGGTTGAGAATCAGGGCGAAAAACAAACCAAACAAAATTATAGCCCGCGAGGCCCACATAAAGGGGCAAATATTTTATAACGGCGAATAATATTCAAAACAAAATACGGCTCGCACAGCTCACACGAAACGAGGGCAAACGTTAAAAGCAGGGCGAATATTTTACAAAACAAAGTTTTAGCCCGCACAGCCCACTCGTAAAGAGGGCAAACGTTAAAAGCAGGGCAAATAATATGCAAAACAAGATTTAGCCCGCTGAGTTCACACAAAACAAGGGTAAACTTGAAAAGCAATTTAAATACAGTGTAATACGGTAAACAAAACAAAATTATATGCCGCACTAGCCCACACGAAACGAAGGTAAACTTTTAGAAGCAGAACGAATATACAAATAAAAATTTAGCCCGCACAGCCCACATAAAACGAGGGCAAACGTTAAAAGCAGGGCAAATAATTTATCAAACAAAATGTAGCCCACACAGCCCACACGAAACGAGGCAAAAGTTAAGAGCAGGGCAAATAATATATCAGACAAAATTTAGCCCGAACAGCCCACACGAAACGAGGGCAAACGTTAAAAGCCGGGCATATAATATATCAGACAAAATTTAGCCCGCACAGCCCATACGAAACGAGGGCAAACGTTAAGAAGCAGGGCGAATAATATATCCAACAAAATTTAGCCCGCACAGCCTGTAGAAAAGCGGGCAAATGTTAAGAAGCAGGGCAAATAATATACTAAGTGGAAATGAAAAACAGCTCGCGTAGGGCAAACAACCTACAAGGTTTGGAAGCGAAAGACTAGAGAACCAGAACGAAACACGTGGCAATGAACGGATAAAATAAAGTTTCACAAACCTCCAAAGAAACTTCGTTTGCTTGAACTGGCGCTTGTGCAGGCGGTTGAGCTTGTTCCTCTGGCGCTACTGGTGCTTGAGCTTGTTCTGCTAATGCCGCCGGTGCTTGACCTCCTTGTGCTTGGTTTTGTAAGACAACTTGAGCTTGTTGGACTGCATCTGCAGGGACCTGCGGGTCAGCCATGGTAATCTGAACAGCTCAGCAGCTTCGAGAGAATGGCATAACTCCTTTGTCTACTCTGCCTTTTATACGCGCGAGGTAGGACCGCTGAGAATAGCGCCTGCTAAACTTTTTCCGAAGCTTTCACTTGCCTCAATCCGAAATAATCTCACAAACATTTTCAAAACCGCGTGCCATGTTGAACAAAACAAAGAAAACAAGTTTCCCGTGACGTCATCCATGTATCTGTACTCTAATAGATCATGGGCAACGACCAATCACAGCGCGCGTAGCATTCACATCATTGTATAAACTCCAATATATCATAGGCAACGACCAATCACAGCGCGTGTACCATTCACATCATGTATAATCCGCCTTGTTATAGTTGGTACGCTTGGTACGGCCATGTTCCATTTTCAGTGGCATGCATGCATGGCTTTATTCGGCTTTGTCAGTCATGTTTTACGTGATTTCATATGGAATAACGTTATTTAAGAAATAAGTTTCACAGTTAACACAGAGCACAGAACATAACAAAGACAACTGATAAATAAAAACATGCAGTGACTTAAAGGGGAAAAACAGCCCCTCTTCACACCTAACTTACTGGACTAGTAACTAAAGACATCAGAATCCAGTACACACAAAATCTATAAATTCAAAAAACTAACAAAGAACTCACTAAATTCCAAGTACACTTGCCAGGCATACTAAGCAAAAAAAAATAGAAAGTGGTGCCTAGAATGTGGAGCATATGGATGTGTGGCAGAGAAGGGTACATGTATATTTTCCATCAGGTTAGTCTGGGATAATTTACATGTGCATGTATAAAGAAAGTTGGTCTAGAGGTGAGTGTTATAATTATCTCTCAGATGTGTGACTACAGCTGTAGCAGCGATTTTAACCGAAAACAGCTTTTTTGTAAAGAAGCAAAACAGATATATGAATGTGGTATGGTATTTCCAATGTGTTCCCCCCCTAAAAAAAATAAATAAATAGATAAGAGTACCCCCTCCCCTCTGGCCCTCAACACACACACACACACACACACTTAATTGACTACCAAACAGGAATGTTGATGCAGAATGTTGTAGATCTTTGCCTTGCAGTACCTTATGGAGGGAAACTACAACAATACAACAAGGTATTAATAATCATTTCTTAATTAAGAAAACTAACAGAATCTTTTTTTTTGCATTATAACAGGAATGTAGCTCACAAAAATAAGCCACAAAATTTGAAGTTGAATTCATTTTTGTAGGTCTTTCTTGCAAGAGGAAATGTACCACCAGATAACTATCACTTCTTCATGAACATCCTACTAGATACCCTCAGGTAAGGCTTAAAACATTAAGATGGAATCCATCAGGAAATTGAGTTATAATTTTAATTTTCAGTGGACAAATACCTTGTACCAGAATAATTATTTTAAGTCACATTGCATTATTTTTTACACTTTTCAAGGGCTACAACTGCATGGGATGTCATTTTGTGAAATTTTAAGCTTTTGAAGTTTGTTTTCTCCCGCTCTTGTAAGAACCTTTTCTTTGGAGTTAATTCAAATAACTTACTACGAGGGTGTGAATGGGGTTAACCGACTAGCGACAAAGGGCTAAAAATATTACTAAAAATACTACCGACAGGAAAAATATTAACTGACTACCGACATGGGCTGACATTATCAATAATTGTTTCAGCAAAAAAGAGCATTTTGCATTTTTTTCCAGCCGTTAGGAAGTAACCTCTTTAAATTTGACCCATCAGATGGTCTAACAGAAAGAACTTACTCTTTTGTTGATACGGCTACATTACTACAACCAATATCATAATCACAGAAGCCACAGTCCTTAAAGATGCTACCGACTTTATATATTTTATTGAAAAGACAAAGCTGAAAAAACTGAACATTTCTTGATTCGGTCCGAGAAATGTTTAGATTAATCCTGAAAGAAAATTCTCTCCAGTCTAATGGAAAGCACTATCAGTAAGAAACCACAGTACCGCGATGAGCACATACAGCAGTTTCCTTTCCAACATTTTCATGGCTGCATATATTAAAACACAAAGTTTAAGCAAAACCGTCTTTAGGGAGCATTCATTTTTTAGAAGGGGGGGTGGGCCGGAGGAATCCCTATCAGCATGAATGTAAAATCTCGCAGCCCTCCCTTTATATTTTTTGTTAAAAAATGTGACCCTCCCCGGGAAGCAGTAAAATTTATAGTGACCCACCCCTTCCTCCTGACAATCATGGTTTGTGGCTGGATTGTGCAACGATCCCGTGGTCCTTCACACAGACGCACCTGTTAGCTAGAATGACGCAACCGCCAATTGCCTACTTTTCTGCCATAACGGTTTACCCTGGCCCCTTCAGGCAACTCATCTTCCTCTTCACTTTCGCTGTCCTTTGAATCATTTTCGTCTGAGTTGCTTGCATCCCCAAATTCCAGTAGTAGTTCATCTTCACTTTCTGAGTCCTCGCTGACACTGACATCATCATCTTCTGACTGGGTGTCCGAGTCTTCCGTTGCTAGTGCAGTTTCAGCAGCACTCAATGTCAAGATCCTTTCACATAAACCTTTGCTGATGTGAGCTGACAGAAGGTTAAGTTTTTCTGATTTGGACATTTTTCTCCTTGATAAGTTGTGGCG